AATTATATTTGAAATAATTTAACATGACTGGATTTTTACTTTTATATATATTAATTTTGTGTTCTACCTTGCCCATACAAATTGGGGCAAGGGTTCTGCCCAAAAAATTAACACTACATGGCAAAGTTTATTTAATTCTGGCTTATTTGTCACAAATATTTCACTGGGACAGCAGTGTTTCTTCAGAACTTGGACAGCTTATCTTTAAGTTTTAACTAAGCCAGGTATAGGGTTATTTCTGTCTTTTTATATGGTGGAGTTGTGATTAAATGTTATTTTAAAACTATTCATTAAGTGTTACTATAACTTTCCATTGCATTGCAGTGAATTAGAATTAATAAATCTTAATTCATGAGAATAATTTGAAAAGTAACAATACTGTTAGACATACAAGTTACCATGTTTTAAGAATTTGGTTATAACATTTTTGTTGTTGTTGTATGCAGCTGTATTTGGTAATTTGTTAGGAGTATGTGGAATTCTGAAATTTTATTTTTCAAAATTAAAAATATTGAGCAAAAATAATTCCTTAATTTTTCAATGATTTTCTTGTTTGATAATGAATGTAGATTTTCCTTATTTTCAAAATTTGTAATGAGAAATCATTACATAAAAAAAACAAAAACAAAAAATTAAAAACCTTTTGATAAAGTGGCACATAAAGTTTAATCTAAGAAAATCACATCTATGGGAGTAGGATAGAAACTAGTTTATTGAATTGTAGGATAGTTGAATGAAAGAACTCAAAAATTTGTTGGTGATGGAGTCTAGTCAAACTAGAGCCATGTTACTTGTGAAGTGCTTCCATGGGTGAATGCTTGGGACTTTTCTTTTTCTTATTACATTACAGATTTTGATAGGAGGCATAATTTAGTAGTATTAGTAAAATTTATAGATACCTAAAACTTTTGGGTATTTACAACTGGATTTAAAAACTACAGAATGAATTAGATCTGTTGGTTAGTTGATGGAATATTAGGTAACCTTTAATTGTAGTAAATGCAAGATAGTGTATTTTTAGTTGTTATATTTTGGATCACACATTTGGTATAGATGAGAAGCTACTTAATATTTCAGAAGAAAAGGACCTTGGGAGAGTGGTGTATAAATGATTCAAACTTTGAGGCAAAGCTGTGTTGCTAGTAGCAAAGCTAATAATATTTTAGGGTGTATTTATAGACATATTGATTATTATTTAAAAAAGTAATTATCTTTTCATACAAATCACTAGTTAGGCCTCACTTGGAATACTGTATTGTTGCGTCATCGAGGTCACGTGACTGGTGTGGCACCACCTATTTTCTAGAACTATCCTGTACCTTGGTGAATGCTCTAGTATTTACTAGATATAGGGTAGTCTGGTATATAAAAGAGGGCAACAACGTGACAGGACAATAATGTGTGTGTAGATAGTGAGTAATTGAACTGCAGTCAGAAGTATTGTTGACGTTCGTTGATATAGCGTTTGTTTTAGCGTGATTGTTGAAAATAAGTGTATCGTAAAGTTGTATTCGGAAAGAATAAACCAGTTTTATTAAGTAAGGATTTGTGTCGCTAAAGTTTCGTCGGAACGAAGTTACGGAAAGTTAATTAACAAACGGGAGACGTAACAGTATGTTGTTTTGGTCTTAAGTAAGAAAGGATATTGACTTATTGGAGAAGGTTTAGAAGAGGGCTACTTTGATGACTGGGGTGAAAGGTTAGATTATGGGGATGTGTTAAAATCTCTTGAGAAAAAATGGGGAAGAGGTGACTGTATTGAAGTGTACTAGATTACTCACTGTGACATAAGTTTAAGATTTGAAAAAGCCTAGGTTTCAGGGCAATTGGTTTATGAGGTGTTTCCATTGGTAGTAAAGGAGAGTAACAGTTTGCAATAATTTAAAAGGGGGAAGTAATAATCTGAAAAAAAAAAGAGGATGTATTAAAGGGGGGCACAACACAGTTAGTCCATTGTATAGATTGTACTTAACTACAAAAATACAAATGTAATGGGTGTGTGGGGGAGGGGATGCTTTGTGATTTGAAGGTCTCAGGTTTGATTTTCATTGCTATTAAATTCCCTCATTGTGACTTTGTTATTGTAATGGTAATAAGGCTGCCTGCCACTGTCATTAATTTTGAACTGCTCACTAGAGGAAAGGTAACTGGCTGATAGTACCCACCGATAATTCTGTGGCTACTTAAGTATTAAATAAAGTGTAAATTTATTGTTTATATTTACATTTTTGTACCTGGTTTTTATTTCCAACAATGAAAGAAGTATTCAAGTAACTTTTAACCATGTTGTAGGTCTACAGCTGAAACTAGAATTGGACTATCACCTACTGTTAGTGTGTGTATGTATGTATATCTTTAAGCATTTTTTTATGTTTCTGTAAACATTCTTTATGTTGTGAGTAGTGAAAGTATCTGAGTGTTAAATTATATATTCAAATAAAAGTTTAGAGACACAGCTATTTGAGTGGATTATTTTATTTGTTTTAACTTTATAACAACAGTGTTTGGACCAATGGTGTAGTTATCATGTAAACTGTCATTCATTGCATGAAGTAATTGAAAGTTGGATAAGCATTTTGTTCCAATTTAGAAAATATATAGGTTGACACCTGTGTTTTGAATTAAATGAAGTTTCAATTCATGAATAATTAATGCTTCTTTTATTTTTTTCTTTTAATGTTCTCATACATAGTATTTTAAAGTTGCTAATATTAGTGTTAAATTATATCTGTTTGAAAGCTACAGAAACTGGCTTCAGTGAAAACTTCATGTGAGATAGGTAAGCTTGTGTTTTAAAGAAGGGTTGAATAGGTAGCAGAAACCTTTATTAAAAGTTTTACACTGTAACAAATGTACAATGTGTGGAGAAGGGTTATATAGTTTACCTGTTCTCAAGAGTATGTATACAATAGGAAGCAAAGAAGTTAAGTGACTGGAGATTGCTTAAGACTCATTAATAAAGGTATTTTGTTGATGTTCTGTTTTTTGTTTAAATATACCTTTTTATATTTTAATAAATATAATATGTTTTTTCATGTTGCAATATTTGTAAGTAAGAGTTTTTTTTTTTAATTATGTTCACGAACTAAAATAAAATTGTCATCAGATCAGATAAGTTTGCTGCTTAATGAATATGGTAGTGATTGCAAAATATTGTGATGACTCAATTCTTTATTGAATATCATTTTAGTTTTTATCTTCTTCAAATAACATAAATACATACATAAATTGTCTAACTGGGTACTTAATTATTTGTAATTTTAATCATAAAATGTTTTAAACATAAATGATATCACTCTTTATTGTGAAAGTAAAATATGAATTATCAATTTATTTGATTTACAGAAGATCAGTGTAGGACTACAGGATATTTAAAAAATAAATAATCCCAATTGTGTGGTGGTATTTAGTTAGCATTAGTGATTTATCTATCAAATAGAAAATGTCCATAAAACTTGCAAATATATATATATTTAAATAAAAAAATATTTTTAACAAATCTGCAAATGACAACCTTCAGAAGAGGTTTATCATAAGAAAAAAGGTAATTTGAATATTACTTAAAAAACAAAGTAATATAAAAGAAAATAGGAAAATTAACACCATGTTAGAGTAATGTAGTGGTTGATAAAAGTTAAGAGACATGTTTTCTTCTTTTTTTGCTTTTAAGAGTTGTAGGAGGCATAATGTACTAATTGATTAACTGATTAGTAAATACCATTAATTGCCCAGCTCTAATATGAAGAATTAGCAGTAGAATAAAAATTTTTGGACTTGCATAAATGTTAAGATGTAGTAAGGTACCACTGTAAGAAGAAAGGGAAATGTACAGGTTTTAATTATCTTCATTATTTTTCTGATCTGGGATGATTATGAGGTAAGACTGAGAGAAAGGTTGGTTGTATGAAAATAAGTGAATGGCATAACTAGGATAAACAAAATTGATGCTTGGTAACTATCCAGAAAGTGCTTTTGTTGAAAGTTGTGTAAAGCTACATGAGAGAATAAAGTGATAAAAACAACTATACATTTTAGATAAAACATCAAACAGCAACTTGAAATAAACACCCAGAAAGCCTATTTCAAAGAGGAGATATTACCAAAACAAAACTGTTGTTTTTAGAAAGTGCTTGCCTACAAGAAACTGTGGTCTGTACAATTTGGAGGTTATTTAGGGTGTTTGGAGTGATCTTGATGGAGTAAAGCAGTGATTTTTTAACTACTGGTCCATATTGATAATAAAACATATGATAATGATAATTAAAAATATTTGATTCTTTTTGAATAAATATTCCTATTATTAAACTTCTAGATTATTTTAAACTTGTTTTTGCAATTCCTACTCTCTGTTTATATATCATATACTGTATAGGCCAATGTACTCCTAATGGTCTGCAAGCTTCTAATAAAAAAAATTGCTGGTTTGTGGAGTGAAAAGGATGGGAACCACTGTAGTAAAGGATATAAATACTATTATCTAAATGTTCTTTTTATTCTTTCACACTGAGCTGCTAGTTTTGCTCCTATATTAGGGTAGTTTTGGTAATATCAGACAGATTTCCTAAGTAGTTTCAAAAGTGTATGTAACTGTGGGATAAATGGTCATTATAAAGCACTAGGAAAATGCCCTGTTATTAAAGCATGGATGATTGTATATGTATTAATGCATAAGTACAAATGCATTATTAAGACAATACTTTTTACATACCAATTAAAATGTCTAACTTATTATAAAAAAAGAAGTAAAATACAAATATAGTTTGGTTTAAGATGCTATGAACGAATTGCTACTCTTATCTACTTGGTGTATGAAGTCTAAAATCTGTAATTGGTTAAAGCTTGTATGCAAGATTCTTGGACCATTATTTGTATTTATAACTTATCACGTATTAAATATACAGCTATATATCTTTTATTCATGCTGCTAATTTCTCATAACTTACAGGTAGGATACTATTTAATTACATATTAATTTGTCTAATTTGTCCATCAATTTTTAGAAAAGTCATGCTACCAGAAGGAACAAGAATAAATGATACAATGGTTACACTGCCTAGTATGGAAATGATTAAAGAGGATATATTGCCTTCAGACTCCATTGATGATTGTACAGAAGAAATAGTTGTGATTGATGATGATGAAGCTGTTGCAAATGATCACAAGGCTCTTAGTGTAATTGTGGATGATGAAATACCACCATCAAAAAAACTAAGAAAAGAAAATGATGAATTTTTCAAAGCTAATTTTGACATTGCCAAAGCTATTGAAACATTGCTAGACAACTTAAGATTTCAGGCACAGGTGGAAAAAGGATTGAAAGGCCAGTTGGAGAGAATGAATGTTCTTGAAAGCAAGTATTAGCATTCCTTATTCTTCTATATAATGTGATATTTTATTTTTGTTACAACCAAAAATCACTTTGAGTTTAGGCTTTATACACTTGCACAGAACATACAAACTTTGAAAAAACAAAAAACTAATTTTTATTCCATAATTGCTATAACAGTACTCATAAATAAAGAACTTTGCAGTTTTACTAAGTTTCATAAGGAAATGTGATTGGAAGTAAATTACACCTTACAGTCTAGCTTATTGCCTTAGATTTCCAGTTTACTAGACCCCGAGATACAGGTGTTGTACCTAGTGCTGTTGTATTACATCAAGTTCTGTCATAATTATTATATGCAGTTGATATATTTACACAGAAATCTATAGATAATATGAATACTGGGAACTTTTAATGGGATACAACAATAAATTCAATGTGTTTACATATAGCTTAGGTTCTGTGCTATGTATCATAAGTGATGAATAAAAGACTGGAGCTTTGAAGAATACTAGTTTCCAAATGAAGTGTGGGAAAACAAAAAAATTGTTGCATGTGAACGTGGTTTTATTGATTTTATAAATCCTTAATTTTTCAACTCTGAATGAAACAAGGTTTAGTTTAAATAACTTAAATATTCAGTAATGTTTAGAGAAGTTATATATTTTCTCTAATCACTTCACATAGCTCAAAATACTAGGTTACTCAAACTATAAAAGCATTTTGAGGTATTTGTTTTTTTTGGAAAACATAATTAATAGTAACATAAGGCTTCTTCTAGGTAAGATTTTGCTAAAATCACACAAGATAGAACTAAACTGATTCATTAAGAAAGGCTGTCAGCTTTAAATAAATTTTCTTATAAAATTTACTTGATCATTTATCACATTTTTAAAAGAAAAATAATTGCCAAGAGCATTTACATGACAACATTTTAATTTGGGCATCACAGTATTTTTATTATTTAGAGCAATCCATAAGTATTTGATGATGAGGAACAACAACAAAAAAAAACAACAGTTTCATTTTCAACAACAAAACCTTTCTTCAAACAAATGGTTTAAGCATGGACAACCCTGTATCACCTGCTCCCACCAAATATTTATGTCACAGATCAAAACACAAGTCACATAATCCACATTTTATCCTCCACTGTACTGGTATAGATATGCGGATGACACTTTTGCTAGTTTCACTTCTTTCGAACAATACACAAATTCTTTGAACACATAAACTCCATTCACCATAATATTAAATTTACCATTGAGCATGAGAATAACAAGAAGTTATCTTTCCTCAATCTCAACATTATTATATCTGACACAGTTCAAAACCAAAATTTCAAAAACAGATTAATTGCACAGACCTCTACATACTCTGGAATTCTGCCCATGAATACAAACATCGGATAAACCTGGTGAAACATTGTTGACAAAATAAACAAAGCTTTTGCTATGTACAGTCAATAAAAAAGTGTCAAGGATTCAATACTCATTCTCCTAAAGATACAAAATCTTATCCATTTATGAAAATATTAATATATGGATTAAGCTAAATATAGTTTTGTTTATAGTCTAGAATACTAGCTTGTAAATGGTACATTAGGTTTGCAGTAGTTACATGGACAAAATATTCATCCTTTGTTAAGGAAAATGAATCATTCACCTCAATAACTAGGCTATGGAACCAAAGGATATGTTTGATTAATCATAACCCATTCCAATCTGATTATACCTTGTGTTTTTGGAGTGTGCCAGTTTATCTTAATAGAATATTAAAAACAAATGAACAAGTATTCCATAAAAAAAATGTTCTTAACTGAGTAAATCTGTAATTCTGATTTTATGAGTATTAAATATACTTCATTTTAATAAGTTCCTTTTGACACAGGCATTCATTGATGTTAAGTTTAAACAAAAGAAAACTTTTGTTGCAAGGACAAATTTTAATAAATTCTGAGTAATAAGTTACTGTGGGTAATTTAATTGACAAAAAGTAATTGGGACAGTGAATTTATATTTAAGCCTTTCTATTTCATATTTTAGTGCTTATATACTTGAAAGTGGTTAAAATTTGAAAGTTAAACATAACCGAGGTAGTAGTACTTAATTAAGAAGTTGAAAGATTTAGATTAACCACTAAAAAATAGTAGTGTAGTTAATAAGCATGAGATGTTAGAATATTATATATAATATAATCAGATTTATTTCAGAGGTAACATAGTTGATCATTCACTGTATGTGAAGTTGAGTCTCATGGGAAATACAAAATTATGAGTTAGGCTTGGTTTTTGTCATATAACTGTATATGACTTACATTTATTATTTGGAGTGATATTTTTCTAACTGAAAAATTTGTAATTTGAATATGAATTTTATTTTGAAACAAAGAGCTGCTTTACTATGCTAATTCTCATAAGATTTTTTGTATGTTACAGTTGGCTAAGCATGATATTACAGTTTATGTAATTTAAATAAAGATAGCAAAAATACTTTGAAATTTTAGTTTTGTGGCTCTGAAATAATCTTAATTTTATTTGATAGGATGTGATTCTTTTTTATGAATATTACTTGTAAGTACAAAAAAGATGTGGGCTAGATTATTAGGTAGCACTAGGGACACATTAAACTCTGTATGGTTTTTGAGTAGCTTCTAACGAGTAATATTCTGTTCTACAGCAAACTGCAAGGAAATTGATGATCTATATGATGGAATGGAGAAAGACTTCAAAGGGTTACTAGATAATGAAGAGTAAGGACATTTTGCTTAGCATATTTTACTTACATCTTTAAAAGCTGTGAAATGTAATGCTTATTTGTATATAATAATTTTTCAATTCCATTTTAGAAGTTAAATATATTTACCTCTTATATATTTCTTGCATCAAACAATTTTGTTTGTAAATTTTCAATTATAAATAGATAACCAAGAATATATATATTAATAAAGTACTCAATATACAAGATGTCTTCAATACCATTTCCAACATTTTGGAAGTTGGAACATACTGTATAATTAAAGTATAATTGTAGTTATACTGCAAAAATAAAATATACTAAAAGGCAAGTGTACAGTCCTTTCTTGAAAATTTAAAATTGAAATTAGTGCTTATTTAATTTTAGATTTACAAATACTTCAAAGATGTTGGTTCAAAATATAATAGAGGATAAAAGTTACTCAAATGTACAAAGTTGCATCTCATGACAAAAACCACATTAGGTTTACTTTAAATATATCCCATTTTATTACATAATAATAAAAAGATAGCTAAGCATTTTGAAGAATCACCTTTTATGTGTTTTATGAGATAATAACTGAGGCAAGAAATATTTTACCATATTTATTTTATGGGTATAATGGTTTTTGAAAAATGTATGTATACATACTTAAGTGAAAAAGAAAGTATACAGAAGTTTAAGTTGGCATTTCATGGCAACAAAACAAGATGGTAATTTCAAACAAAGTATTTAATAAAAACATAAATGGTCAGAGCATTGTTAGGAAGTTCCATCTGTGAATGGTCTACAAAATGAAGTGATTATTGTCAATCCCATTTGGGATCAGATTTACAATTAACACAAATGTACATTTATACACAATTCTATATTTTCACCACCAAATTGAGGTTAGTATTGTGTATGCCCTCTCATGAAGTCTGTTAGCCAATAGATGATGTCTTGTTAGATGGCGTGCATCAGCTCTTGTCTGTTGGTTAATAGGTTTTGTTGCTTTCTTATTCCTCTATGTAGATGACCCCAGAGATATTCTTTTTGGAAAGTGTCAGGAGAATGAACTGGCCATGGTAAACTATCGATGTTGTTGGCTTGGATAAACTGTTGTACTACCTTTCCCAAGTGAAGTATAGGGTTGTTGTGCTGGAACAAACTACCCTGGGTTTGTTTGCAGATGAAGGGCAGAATGACAGATTGTAAGGTTTTGTAATGTTAACCAGTGAGTTTAGCATTGATTGCAATAAGTGGGGTCCTCTAGTTGCCATAAATTTGCCATTACACCATGTCCCCCCCCCCCCCATCCTCCATGGCTCTATCTCCTGGATTTGCCACCAGGCTATTCACTCCCCTCTGTGACAACAATACACACAAACTGTCATTAGCTCTATAGAAGGAGAATTTGCTTTTGTCCAAGAACAGGACTATGCCAAATGTGGATGCACCATCTTAAATTATGTCTCACCCAAGTCTGCGAAGGCAATGTTCATGGGCTATTGTTGTTCTTTTGTATGGTCTGTAGGTGTCAATACTTGCACCTCTCAGTCACTTGTTTATAGTGTGTTGGCTGATGGCATGATCCAGTGAATTTACTGCTGCTGATATCACAGTCAGGAACTAATTTTTCAGATGCTGTACGTGTAAATAGAGATTTTCTTGGGGTGTAGTCACACAAGGCCTGCATTTCCTAGGCCTTGCTGATGTCTGACAAGTCTATCTGAATTACTGAAACAATATTCTAATAGTCATTCTTGAATCTCCAAGGGCTTTTTCAAGCAGGTCATGTGAGGCCCCAATCAGCGGTATTCTCTAAGTACTTGTCTTGGTGTTGTGCCATGTTTCAAGTAATTTTCCTCTCCCCTGATTGTTATAGAGATGCTGACACACTTGTACACACTTTGTGAATGGTTATTTCATGATTCATGTACAAATTCTTAATTTGTATATTCTTGTTTTCTTGAAAATTTTGTGTGGTTGTATTTCATATTCACAATGAACATAATGTACACCTAGGATTATACCATGAACAGGAGATTATTAAGGGTCAGATGGGCCTGGGGCTAAATTTTTTTACTGGGCCTATTATGATCAAAACCAAAGACTAAGCTAAAAAAAAACTAAACTTAAGATATGTTTTACTTTTGGAAACAATTGGAAAATAATATATACAAATTTGTAAAACTCGTGTACAAATTAATGAACAATATTAGATGTTCCATGAACAGGAAAAGTGGTGCTCTTACACAGACAAGATTTGCATTCAGATATGGTACATTTCCTCTTCTCACAAATAGCTATTCTCGTTCAGTGCTGCCCCCTTTATGCAAAAAATTATTTTTGCATGCCATAAGCCTTGAGTTTCCCACATACCTCACAATCAACTGGTTCAAATGCATCATGTAACAATCCTCCACCAATAAGAATGTGACACACACTCCTGACGCATGTGACTCCCTAACTCTTCCGAACTAGCACTTTTTTGTTTGGATAATTCCTCCTTCTATCCTCCATGTTGGGGCATTTGCCATCTTCAGTTCTTTCCCTCCACATGTGGCTTCTTTGCTTTTGGGATCTTCTAGGGTGGGACACTACTGTTTGTTTATCATCCACTGCTAATAGGGACTTATGATCAACTCTTTTTCCCCACGTCTGTTTTTTGGGACTACTCCTGTATGTTTAATGTCAGTGGGGGTATCTGCAATACTATATTCAAGTTTTTTTGGTTGTTCTTTTGTTTCATTCTGAGACATTGTAATTGCTATTCATTTTCCATGTCCGACACCTTTCTATCCATTACCTGCCCTATCTATGGGTTTCTCCATTTATTGTGTATGCTCAATGCTGATTGGAGCTCTGGATCGATTGGTCCCACCTTAATCACTTCTTTGGTCTTCCCTGTTTTAATGTGTAGTCTTTGATCACATTTGTATAGACTATTTCTGCATTACTGAGAATGCCCACGAAACGCTATCTTAGGCTATCTTAGATTCGGTACTAGTTTTGTGCCTTGCCTTTTGGACTTGTTTCAATTCTGTATGTATTGTTGGATGGTCTGCATTTTACCCAATTTCTACATTTTTGGGGATTTTGCCAACACCATTAATTGGATGTCTAGCTTTGCTTAGCTCCTTCCAAATAGGAGTAGTCTTAACATACTTCCACAGACAGTGGTCTGGCATAGCCAGGTGGTTAAGGTACTTGACTCGCAACCTGAGGGTTGTGGGTTCGAATCCCCGTCTCGAATCCTCCGTGGGTGGTGATGACTAGCTGCCCTCTAGTCTTTCACTGCTACATTAGAGACAGCTAGTGCAGATAGCCCTCATGTAGCTTTGTGTGAAATTCAAACTCAAACTCCATAGACAACTCAGGTAGTTGGATTTTCCAGTTGGATAAGTTTTCCTGTTACATACCTCACATTCTAGTCTCTTGGGGAGTGTATTTTTAAACATTCCCCCCTACCAGGACCATCCATTCTTCTCCTTGAATGCATTCGATGGAGTTTTCTGTTATCCAAGCCATTACGGTTCACTGTATTACTGCTAGGAAAGTTCTAACCCATTGGGGGATTTGGTTTGTATGGGAGCACTTCTCCTTTTCGGTTTAGTGCACTTGCAATCTTTTCAGGAAACTCTGCATGACCCATGGTCTCTTGCTAGGGTTCCTATGGATTTTCCTCTTACCTTTCATCCTTCCCTCTTCGACTATGTGCATTAGTGGTTGAACATATCCCCCACGATGTCGGGTTTACCACTTTCTCCCCTTCTTCTGGATTGTTTCTCTTCCCTGATGAGGGGTGTGGTTCGATCAGTAGGAGGCTTCAGGACAAAGTCTTATCACGTTAACACCCTGACACTTCTGCCAGTCCAATGTACTTTAGTTCACTCTCTTTGTCTTGTCCTGATTTGAGTAATCATGTTTCAGTCCGACTGTTTGATGGTGGAGGCTTATATCACTTGCCAAAGGGACACTCATTCTTATTCTTTTTGTGGTAGACGGTCGATCTTCCTTTTTGAATCCATACAGTTGACATACATTTCCTGGAGTATTGTGTTCCAGGTGCTTTTGTCTTTCTCATTGATCGACTTTCTAGTCCCAACACACTTTCTCCCTTTGAGTGACCTCTTGATCTTCAAACTTTTGGTGGCTCTATCTCCTGTGGGGTACTCCTCCACGTGAAGTTATTGACTATTATTGATTCCAAGTTACCTCTCTTGTTTTTGGTCTCTGGTTCATCATCCACTTGCATTGGCTGTTGATACGTTCAGACAGAATTAGATCCAGTTTATAACTTTAGTTTTTCTCATTCCATCAGTCTTCTTCCCAAGATGTTTGTTCATCCATGTCATTCCGGGTCAGGTCTTTCTGAAGGATCCTTCCTGGATGGTACAGATCTGGCTTTCTCGGCTGCTTCATCTTGGTATGTTCTTTTTGTTTTGGATCGATTTTACTAAACTGTATTTTGGGGACTGGTGGAATATTCTTTTTTGACTTTTTCGTGTTTTGCTGTCTTCTACCTTTATTCTCAGTTGGATCCGGATGACCTTCTCTGTCCAGTACATGCTGTGGGTTGCTTCATTGTTTTCAAGGCTTCTTTCCATTGAATCCATTTCCCATGGTTTCATTACCTTACAACACTATTTTGTCTGTGATTTTTTTTTCCCCTTCCTCCCTTACCTACTGGGTTCGGATTATGTTTCAATTGGCCTTTTATTCCTTCTTCCCGTCATCAATTCCTGATGTCTTCACTTTGATCATGCACCTTCCCTTTTCCCTGCATATCAGCCCTGTTATCTGCTGAAGATACTTCGTCTGTTTAGTACTGGGACTACACCTCATATGCTCATCTCCCATTCTCTGCTTTGAGTAGCATTTTCTTCCTTGCTGGGGTACCGTTATCCACCTGTTGCCATTCTTCGCTCTTCAGTGAGACTGTGATTGGGTAAGATACCTTATTTGCATATATACATTTTATTTTTCAGGGGGATGTCCCCTTTTTTTCTTCATGGATCCTGCTCTATGGCAAGTGGTGCCTGTACAGGTATACTTAAACTAGTCAAATCTGCACTGTCAAAGCATTGATGACATAACAATTATAATTTCCATGGCCATTAAATGCAGACTGATGAGATGGGTTGTTCCACAAGATTGCTCATAGGTTTTTCTCCTGATATATTTGCTTTATTCATATGCCCATTCCAGACCTTACTAACCCATGGACTTCATGGCTAAAGCAGAAGGGATAGCTGCCCATTCATGCCATTCATTTGGCTGAATAAATGAGGAGTGGTCTACATTTCAAAATAGGATTTTTGTTGTCTCTTGTTGCACTGTCTCCGGTGTTGACATTCCTCCGGACTCTCCACCTCATTTTCTTCCACTCTTTTTCTTCCAGTGGAGTATGGGAGTCCTTACCACTATCCAGTTCCAAGCTGCTGAGTGGTGGGTCATGGAGCATCCTCCTGAATGTGATAATGATATACGATACAAATAATGATGAAACCGTTCAGTTGAGAGTAGGCCGGTGCTTTGTTGCTTTCAAGGGTATCATATGACGGTGTCATGTAAACAGTCTAATGAAATAAGCAGTGGTTTGTTGCTTTATTTTCAACAGATTTCTACTTCAATCATTGATAGTAAAATAAACACCGAAAATAAATATAAAGTGGGTTAGCAGTTGAAACTGTGAAGAGAAGTACTTTGAAATTTTGTGATCAATAATCAAGAAAAAATGGTACAGCTGCTCAGTTTATTTCTGATTTTACAACTTTTCATTATACTTTGATTTGTCTACTAGCTGAAGAATAAAATATACTGTTAGGGTAGATGTAAAAATATAAAGATTTACTTAAAGTTTTATGTCTATTTAGTAGGATTTATCGATTATGCAAATCAATTTGAGGTTTTTGAGACAAAGAAAAGTATTTTTAATCTTAACTTAAAAATCTTGTACTTGGACTAATAAAAAAGAGGAAAAAAAAGATTTGATTTATTCACAGACAAATCTTTAATAAAAATACTTCATTAAAAAAAAATTATTTTTTGCATACAAATGACTTGTAATCTTTACTAAAAGTCTGCCAAATTTTGTGAAGAAATACATACTGTATTAGAAGTTATAGTATGAAAACTATAACAAGTACAAAATGATTATGAGGTTGGTCCTTGTGACCAAGTTCGTAGTGTAAGAGTGAAGCATTTTCCCAAAAGAAAACGAGGATGGGTTTTACTTTCTTTTTTTTTTAATAACAGGTCATTTTTTTGAGTGCAGGCCTGGGGCTACAGCTCCAATAGCCTCTGCTTTAATTTGTCTCTGAACATAAACATAACATATATATTTTTTGGATTCACTCATATTGGAGATAATAAGTATATTTTGTTACTGAAAGTGTTAGTGTTAGCATAAGCCTTTGAAGTAAGGTTATTTTTCTAATTGTTTTTTCTATTGTTGAATAGTTTCATGAAGAAAAACAAAGTGATACAGAATTTCTCATGTAATTATTTGAAGAAAAATATACACAAGAAAATTTTATTCAGTTTCTTCCCCAAAAGTATGGAAGTGTAAATGCTTAATATTGTTTACTGTTATATAATTTATATTTGTTCAGCATGATAATAGAAGTTTCATACTTTTTATTTATTTATTTATTTATAAGTAAATGTATAAATTCACTGGCACTTTACATAAGCTGGACTTAGTAACATTGGATATTTTGAAGCTCAGTACACAGAATTATGTGTGATCCTCTGTGAGTTGTTAACATTGCATGGTTAATTTTCAAAAATAGGTAAAACAATATCAGTTTAGACTTTGAATAGTATGTATTGTATGTATGTGAGTACTACATTAAAATTTTTATACTTAATTATGTGACTTTATTTTTTTTTCTTTTTCAGACCTGAAAAAGAAGAGGAACTTGATTTTTATGATACGTTTTCAAAGTTGCCAATATACGGTGCACCTGAAAGTAAGATAATCATTCCAAGGGCTCCGTCCACTTCTCCACAAGTTTCCAAAGGGTTGATGCAGCTCTCATCGCCAAATTCATTTACCATAAATTCACACAAAATAGCTACTTCCACAATTCACCAGATGTTCACATCTTCTCAAGGTAATGTTTCATTCTTTTAATTTGTTTCATATGTACTTGTTACATTTGGTTAAGTTTGTAGCATAAATAGGCTTGTTCTGACACTTACCTCATATTTTTTTTTAACTGCCAAAGCATTTGAAAATATAAAAAATGAATTTAGTTTAACCATGAAAGTATGCACATCTCTACAAAATTTTGCAGGTTATGGTAAATACTACAAGGCTTTCGTACACAAAATATCAGGTTTTTAAATTAAGTACTAAGATTTTCTAGTAAAAATTATTTCTTTCAGAATGTTGATGATCCTACATGCAAAGTAATTTTTGATTTCAAATTTCACACGCGAAATCTTTACAACATCCAGATAATTATCAAATATTTTTTGGAAAAAACTTTGTTTTAACTGTTATTTTCACTACTGTATCTCTGTAGGGGAGACTGTGGCTAGTTGTTACGATTTTTAGAAAAGTCCAATATCTAGCGAAATAACCC